CTTTCTTATGCAACACAGGCCCACCTGCCCAGGGGTGGCACCACCCACAGTGGGCTGGGCCCTCCCACATCACTCATCAAGAAGATGCCCTTCAGACATGGCCACAGGCCAGTCCAATAGAGGCAATTTCCCGATTGAGGCTCCCTCAACCCAGGTGTGTCAAGTTGACACTAAAGCTATCCAGCACAACCATTTTGTATAAGGAACTTGAGCATCCTCCCATCTGGGCATCTTCTAGGGGATCCTGGAACCCATCCCCCATGGATACCAACAAACATGGACAGCCCTATCTATTGAATACCTGCCACACACTCCATTGGTTCTTGGAGCTATGCCTGCTGCCAAGAGTAAAGCCAGCTGCCTCCCTGACAGTTTTCCTCGTAGTTGTCTCTGAAGTATTGAACACATAAAGTGTCCAAATCACTTGTCTTTATCTGTCTTCCAATCCTGTTCTTCGTGTAGACTGTCTCATCTCTCTGACTTCTCAGACTCAGTGTGGAATCCGCATCTTATGCTTGTCTTCTCACTTGCCCCATTTAATTCCTTCCTCGTCAACTCATATCATTCCTGCTTGAAAATATGGCTGACTGCCTTTCACTCTTCCCACCCCCACTGCCAGCCCCAGGAAGGCTTTTTCCAGTAGGCTCCTAACCAGTCTCTCTTTACATTTTTGCTTTTACTTCCAATTATTTTCATAATAATAACCTGAAAGATCTTTCAAAAGTCTAAATCAGATCATATCACTTCTCAGTTAAAACTTTTTTTTTTTTTTTTTTTTTTTTTTTTTTTTAGAAAGGGGCTCCTTTTAACCCCCCCTTTCCTGGAACCCCCTATGTAGACCAGGCCGGCCTCAAACTCACAAAGATCTGCCTGCCTCTGCCTCCCAACTGCTGGGATTAAAGGTGTGAGCTACCATAGCCAGCAGTTAAAACCTTTTATTGACTTCCTTTCACAACTTCAATAAAGCCGCTGTTACCTCACCAACCTTGTGTTGTATCTCTCCCTTGTCCTTTTTAACCCCGTTTCAGTCACACGACTTCCTTTGATCTCCCACTTCCCTACCCCTAGACTTGGCACGTGCTGTTCCACTGTCTGGATGCTCCTCTTCCCATCCTTTTAGCCATTGGAGTATTCTCGTGGTTTAGGTCTTAGCTTAAATAGCTTCTCCTGTAAGAACCCACTCCTCCAGTACTGCTACAAGGACTCCTGGGCCCCTCCCTCACAACCTCCCATCTCCTCACTGCACACGCCACAGTTTTCAGGCACATGTGCACTGGTAGTTGGACCTGTATAATGGCCTTCTCCCCCGGTTAATGTGCTGTTTCCCATGGAAGTGGAACCATGTTTGTTTCTTTTTGCCTGTCCCAGAGTTTCATACAGTTCCTGGCACATAGTTGGTCTTTAAAAATTGTAAAGGAGTCATTAAAAAATGAAACTACATTGATTCTTTTTTACATAATAAATCTTTAACCTTAAATAAGAAAAACATGAAATTAAGAAAATTGTTTTAATATTTTTAAACTATTGGAACTATTTTAGGGAAGTAATATGGTTCAGTATCATTAGTTACCTTACTCAAAAGACAAACTTAAATGTGGTTATTACATAGTTTGAACTATTTTTTAAAACAAAATAACTTTTTTAATGGAAATACAGCATTATAAAAATGAACTGCTCTTTTTGTATATTTCAGGCTCATACACTAAAGTGTCTAAATTCTTGGCTCTGCTCCTTAAACCTACTACAAAGATCACATTAGAATTCATTTTAATAGACACTGTAAGCACAGTATCCAATCTCATATCATCCTGCTGGGCTCTTTTATTATGAGAGTCGCAGGAAGCTGAGCCTGAGGCTGCTGAACACGTTGTGGGGTATATCTAGGGCTGGGGATGGTGCCAGCTCTATTGCTTATGTAATATTCTCCTCACCTTTATCTGTGGTGCACAATTGATATTGACTTTTGAGAAACTACTCCTGTGACCTGATCTCCCAGTCGGAGAACAAACCCGCTGAAATGACATCTGGCTAGGAAAAAAGGGATCAAAGAAGCATAAGGAAAGAAAAATTATGAGACCATGTTTAATAAGCAGTTTTGTACCAGCCTGTCTTTTAGATCTGTTAGTGGGAGTGTGTTAAACAACTTTTTCAAGGTTACCAGTCCTTTATCCCTTGAAAAAGCTCAGTGACCCCGAGAGCATCTTTGGTTTTCACTATTGATTGCTAAGGTTGGACTTACTTAGCATGTAACAAAATGTCTTTTTTACTTTATACAGGAGTAAATACCCTTTATAAAAGTGAAATAAGCTGGGCGTGGTTGTGGCACACACCTTTAATCCCAGCACTCAGGAGGCAGAGGCAGGTGGATCTCTGTGAGTTCAAGGACAGCCTGGTCTACATAGTGAGTTCCAAGACAGCTGGGGCTACAGGGAGACCCTGTCTCAAAAAGACAAATTTTTTTTTAAAAAAAGATAAAAATCTGATTATTTGTGATACTTATCACTGTTCATGCTTGGCTTATTTTTTTCTTAAAGAGGAAGATAGTCATCTTCCGCAAATTGTTTTTGTCCCAACTTGTAGGCATATCACTTGAGAAGTTCTTAAACATCTTAAAGAAAAAGAAGGAAGCTCAGCTCTATCGGAATGAGATAAGGCACATCTTCACAGCTTTTGACATGCACTGTAAGTATAAAGTGTTTGATATGGCTGCTAAGGAATCATGATTGGCAATACCTCCTTAGTGAATTAAATATACAGTATGCTCTGAGGATCATTTTACTGTGTCTGTTAACCATTACCATAGGTGTTGGTGGGAATCCTTTCCTGCATTGGCATCTTGAGTTTTGAGTATATACCCTAGGTGAAATCATATTTACAATTATATAATTGCACTTATGTGCTATACCTGTGGACTTAGATATGTTGTAGCTGTGCTGTAGTGGTGACAGGAGGAGGACTGGCCGTGTGAGGTATGGGCCACAAGCCACCTATGAGAGCTACATCTCCTGCAACTCTTACTTTGACCCACACATGATCTGAAGGGTTGTTTCCCACACTGGGTGTGCCTGCTGACCCTGACTCCACAGATCTCAAGAGGAATACAAAAACTTGCTTATGGTTATGATGTCCCCTAAATCTTACCATTTTACAAGCCTAATACCAAGCCAGAAAAACAGTGACTTTTGAACACTGAAATGTTTTGGCAGTTCACAAAGACTTGAAACCCAGTGATATTATTACAGTCAAGTCTCTGTGTAATCCTTTCCCTTGGACTTAATGGAGATACTGACAGTGACCTTCTAGATTATCTGGGACTGCACCAAAGGGCAGAGTATTATGAGGTTCCTAAATTCTTTCACTAAGAATTATTCAACATGTGGATAATTGCCCTCTATATGGTCAACTGCAAATTACTGCTTTTCTTCTAACCATATATTGAAATTTAACTTCCTATAAATATTATGGCTCAAGTAATAATTCATAGAGTTTATAGAAGTAAGTGAATTTTATATTTCATTTTCAAATAGATCGTGGATTTTTAACTTTGGAAGATTTCAAAAGGGCCTTTAGTCGGGTGGCGCCCAAGCTACCAGAAAGGACTGTCCTCGAGGTGTTCAGGTATGGCACTGAGACTGGGGCATCCACTCACCCTTTGACTGAGCATTTGCTTCCACATATCTTTAGTTTCATAGAGAACTCTTGTCTTTTCTTAGTTTTCACTTTTTGAACATTTCCATCTCAGCCTAGTTTCCTGGTCCAGGAGAAAAATCTGCAATCAGTCATGAGTTCTGCTTTGCTTTTGACAGGGGCCCTTAAGGAGAGGATCAGGAAGAACTTGGTGTATTTATATGTCACCACCCCTCAAAAAAAGAGGTATATTAATATTTAAACAGTCTGCATTTGTCAGGCAAAGCTATGCATGGTTTTAAGTTGTCTAGAGAGAAGAGCTGGAGGTACAAATGGTGGCCTCATTCATTTACTTTCTAAGTTACTGCATGGTCGCCATTTACATATACCCGATAAAGTGCATTTTAAGATTGTGTTATGTCCTTCAAAATGAGCAAGTGGCTTAAAGGCAGTTTCTGTTAGAAACTTGCAGATTGTAATATAAGTAGTGTGGGCACATGCAGACATGAGGAAGTGGCCCAGCTGTTTTTTTCTCTGACACCTGGCATGAGCCTATCCTCAAATGTCACCAGGTGTATTCATTTGAGTTCAGTACATAAGCAACAGCCACCTCAAATACTGGAAGCTCACACACACACAAAAATGCATGTAATATCCTCTGCCAGACCCCCCTACCCCCCCCACATAGGCAACCTATAGCTGAAGGATGGATAGTTGTGAAGGACGCAAGTTCTTCAGTTTCTTGTTCCTCTGACTACCCTAACCCTGGCTGCTTCTTCCTCCAGGATGGCTGCTTAAGTTGCAGTCATCAAATCTGAATTATAGTAGTAGGAAAGGAGGCAGAGTTGCCTACTCTTTTGAGGTAGATCATTCCTACTTACAACCAGTGACCAGCACTTAAATTCAAGCCCATACATGTTTTCAGGGAGAGGGTGAGGGACTGTGAAAAGGTACCCTTTGCTTTGTGCAGTCATGTGGTAACTTAATAGAGGTTCTGATACTGAAGGAGGAGAGGGAATGGATGTTGGGGGACATCTGGCAAATATTCCCATTTGGGAGAAAAGTAATTGAATGAAATTTGGCCAGAAGCCAGCTCTGCTCAATAGAAATTATCAAGCAGGTTACTTGAATAAGGATTGCACGCATTATCATTAACATGACATATATGAAATTCATTTGCTACCTCTTTTCACAAGCAAGCCATTGAGCAGGCTATTGAAAGAGAGCAAAGAAGTTAACGCCAGATGCATACAAAGTGTGACAGGATAATATAGGTGATTTTGTAGAAGCAAGTTCTTCAATGTATATTAGCATCTTGTTATGTGCTTTGTGATGTGATGAATATCAATTAATTTCTGCCACCAGAAGTTGTTTTCAAAAGGAACTAAAATTGTTTTCAGTTCCCTTCTACAAAAAAAGTTGTCCAAACTTTCTGACCTTTATGTATTAAATGGTTATAGCAGATGCTTTGTAGAGATTTTTGAAAAGTCTTTTTTTTTTTTTTTTTAATTCTGGTACTGGGGATTAAACCCAGGGCCTCCTGCATACTAGGTAAATGCCCAATCACTGAGTTATAGCCCCAGCCCACTTTATAGTTTTTATTTTGAGATAGAGCCTCACTAGGTTGCCTAGGCTGGCTTTGAGCTCATTCTTACTGTAGCCCAGGCAGGTCTTGAACTTGTGTCATCTTACCTCAGCCTCTTGAGTGGCTGGGATTACAGGTCTGTTCCACCAGGCCAGGCTTGAAAACAAAACTTAAATTCAGCCCTTCAGGGTAGAAACAATGTTTAACTTTTAGTGAAAAATTAACTGCTTCCAGTCAAAACCTATGAGCCACATCCTGGTAGAGAGCACTTATGAAACCATGTCTGTAAATTTTATTTTATTTTACAAAAAATTCCATGTGTTGCCTATTAAAACTCTGTTATCTGTGTGTTCACTGAGTTGGAAATGGAATGTTCTGGCCTGGCTTGTAAAGCATTAGTGGTTTTAAGGCAGCATGTTTTCAAGTATAAAAGTATGAATGGTGGAGGGGTATACAAGGCCTCACCCTTCCCATGTGCCACACCCCTCCCTGAGGAGCTATTGGCAATGATGGCAGCTAGGGGAAGGGGGTATTCATTTTAATTTAGGAGTGTAACTACTGATAAGTTTCCCATGAGCAAATACATAATCCCTCACTCATACTCTTGCAAGTCTTCATTAAACTCAGTGGGGCATTAAAAAAAGACTTGAGTGTGGGGGGGATGTGTGGGGAAGAAGGGTTCCTGAGGAGTGGGAGGGGGTTAAGAGAAAGGGATGGAAGAGAAGATGATCAATATGCATTATGTACATGCATGAAATTGATGAAATTGTCAAAGAATAACTGAAAATTAGGTTGTTTTTTTTTTTTTTGGTCTTTTTAGCCCCAGCTGTCCTGGAACTCACTATGTAGACCAGGCTGGACTTGAACTCAGAGATCTGCTTCCCTCTGGCTCCCATGTGCTGGGATTTAAAGGTCAGTGAGTTGCCCCACAGAACAACACAAACCACAGCCTTTAAAAAAAGTGGGGACTGGAGAGATGGCTCAGAGCCTCCCTCAGAGCACTGGTTGCTCTTGCAGAAGACCCACGTTCAGTTTCTAGCACCCACATAGCAGCTAACAACCATTCATAACTCCAGTTCCAGGGGATCCGGCGCCTTCTTCTGACCTCTGTAGATATTGTATGACACACGTGCACTTATAGACATGCAGGCAATACACTTATACACATAGAATAATAAATTTAAAAAATTTTTAAAGTGGATTCCTTTTTTTTTCCTAATATAGACTACGTACTGAAATAGATTCCTGATTTTGTCTTTGGTACTGCACATTCCTGTGCTTGAAGAGCCATCCCTAGGGCTGGAGAGAGAAGTCAGAGGTTAAGAGCTCTTGCTGCTCTTGCAGAGCACCTGGGTTTGGTTCCCAGCACCCACATGGTGGCTAACAACTGTCTGTAACTCTAGATGGTGCATATATACACATGTAGGCAAACACTCAAACACATAAAATAATAAGTAAATATGGGCTGGAAAGATGGCTCAATGGTTAGGAGCACTGGCTGCTCTTGCAGAGGACCCAGGTTCAGTTCTTTGCACCCATGTGACCACTAAAAACCATTCATAACTCCAGTTCTAGGGGTCCAGTGCCCTCTTTTGCCTTTTACAAATATTGCATGCGGGGGTGCACTTACATGCAGACAAAACACTTTACACAGAAAATTAAAAAAATAATAATTTTTAAAAATCCCTAGTTGGGTATGGTGACCCATACCTTTAATCCTAGCACTCAGAAGGCAGAGACAGAGGCAGGAGGATTTCTCTGAGACTGAGGCCAGCCTGGTCTATATAGCAAGTTCTTTAGATAGGGTCTTGCTCTCTAACCCATGCTGGCCTTGAATTTGTGATCCTCCAGCCTCAGCCCCCAGAGTGCTGGCATCACAGGTGTGCTTTCTTGCCTGGCTTTGTGTTTCTTCCATTTTCCTTTCTTTCTTGGTGGTGCTCGGGATCAATCTAGGGCCTTGTAAATGCAAATGCTAGACAAGCACTCTACCACTGGACTGTATCCACATCCCTTTATGTTCCTTTTCTTAAAAACTGTTCTGCATCTTTCCATTCCATTGCAGTGTTGGACACTAATGATAGATTCCTGAGGAAGATCACAATTGGACAGGCTCCAACCAAGAAAGGGCACACACAAATGGTAATTATTTATTCATTCCCCCAAGTTGTTGCTTTGTGGGAACTAGATCCTGCTACTTCTGTCCTCCTCCATCCTCTCCCTTACAACCAATACCTCCAGGTGTTGTTCTGCCTTCTCTCTTTTAAAATGGAAGTGAGTAGGTGTGGCATTGAGCACTCCTGACAGCGTTTCCAATAGACCTCACTTGTCAACTGTGTGGTTTCCCCCAACATTCTTTACCTGGAGGTGGCGAGCCTCAAGCGAATGTCCTTGCATGTAAATTAATGAAAATTGCTTCTCTTGTGGACATTTGGCTATATGTCTCTTCAGTGTAAGAGTGTCTGTGTTGTCTGTGATATGTTAGGAAAATGTAACTGATTCTAAGCAGCCTTTACACGGATAAAAATCATAGTTTATTGGTCATATTAGGGCATTTTTTGGTTCTATTTTCTCAAAACAGACTCTCATGTAGCCAGGGCTGTCCTCAAACTTATAACCAAGGATGACCTTGAACTTCTGATCTTCCTGCCTCCACCTCTCAAGTGCTGGGATTACAGGCATACACCCCCACCACACCCAGTTTTATGACGTGCTGGGCATCAAATCTAGGGCTTTGCGCATGCCCTACAACATTGATGTTTAAAGACTGATTATTCAAGATCTCAGAATAATTATAAATTTTGACTATTGGAGGATTTTTTTTGGATGCTTTTGTTTCATCCTATTAAGCTATTTGTTTAAGCCAAAAGGGGTATCTTTTGTAATTCATGCTTCTGGTTTAACACAAAGGTTCTGCCCTGTGTCTTTCTCTGCCCACAGGCCCAGTTTGATATCTCAGTGGCCAGTGAAATCATGGCTGTCCTGGCCCTCACTAGTTCTCTGGAAGACATGAGAGAGAGACTAGGCAATGGTGGTGGCATCCAGCAAGAAAGGAGAGCCCATCAGTGCTGAAGATCTGGTGAGTGCCAGGCTTGCTGACACAGCAGTGTCCACTGTCCTCAGTCAGGGTCCTTCAGTGAGTTTAGTTGATTTGGCTCATTGTAAAAATTATGAAATTTTTGTTGTTCTTGTTATTGTTGTTGTTGTTTGAGGCAGGTTCTCCCTCTAGCCCCAGCTGGCCTAGAACTTGCTATGTAGACCAGACTGGCCTTGAACTCACAGAGATCTACCTGCCTCTGCCTCCCAAGTGCTGGGATTAAAGG